CCCCCCCCCCCCCCCCCCCCAGCAGAGACAGCTGAGCCATAGACAGAATGACACCTGTAAACAGTAAAATTACCAGGTACTAGAAGTAGACATTGTCAGTTAGTGACCAAAAAGCCCAGTTTTAATCAACTATTTCTAAAACTCTACATCCTACAGAGCTAAAGTATTTAAATAGTTTTCACTTTGTCACAGTAATACTTCATTATCAGTATTATTTTAGATTTTACTGCAGCACTTAGGTAGGAAGACTTTCTAGAAAGTGTTTTAGGAAGCTTGTTTCACCAAACTTAACTGGGAAAGAATAAACACTATTTCTAAGAACTTGCACTGTCTAGTTCCCTGCCACTGGACATCTATGTATTAGCAAAAGGATTTAAAATAACTCAAATTCTAGTTGCCTTTTGAGTCTTTGTCTAGCTTCCACCCAGAGTTTCTCTATGCATATTACCTGTCCTCAAACAAGTAGAATTAGTAGAATTTTTACTGGGGAAGAAACATTTTTCTAGTTTTTGTGGACTACTCACTGATCCCTGCTGAGACAAAGTGCTCTCACTTTCCAAAAAAAGAATAAATTAGCAGCAGGCTCACTGTTTTCCATTAGCCAAACATCAAAGAGCCCAACTTGCAACCGCTATCAGTCAGTACAAAGCTATAGCTGAAACTTTGTTCCAACTCCCCCATTCCCTTATCCAAGGAGCATGGCAGGTGATGGTGGCAGTTTGCATGCAACTCATGGGCTGAAGGAGATTACTGCTGAGAACACCACCAAAATCTTGTATTCAGACCCAAAAATCCAGCTGACAATGCTGTACCAGAGTGTTTTTATGGATTTTCATAAGCTGGAAACCAACTCATCCCACTAAAAAGTTAATACTCAAATCTAGTTAGACAATTGCATCAATACTTCACTTCCACAGACACAGCTTGAAATGAGGAAGTACCAAATCTACATAACATATACTGAAACAGAACAAAGGCACACTGATTGTTTTGACTCATTTAGGGTGAATGTTAGAGCAACCACAGCAGACCAGATCAAAGGTTTATATATTTTATAGCAAAATAAAATTAGGGAAAAAACAAAACAATGACAAAACACTTCCCAACTTCTGACAGTCTACACTTGCTTTTTTTTTTTTTTTTGATTCAAAGGCTGTAAGCATTACTTTATGGAGGGACAGACCCACAGAAGGGCCGACGTCTTTACTGGGATTTCTCTCTGAACAGATACATACCTTCGTCATCAACATTGTCCTACAGCAAGAATTGACACAGGTCCGTTACACTCTGTAGAAAAAGCATTCCTTCTCCTTAATTAACAAAATCTGTCTGAACTGATATCCCTTTATTTCTGCATAATAACAAACAGTAAATAAATATTCTGTCTTCTCCAAGTGCCACCTGCAGTTCTACATAAGCTTCTACTGTACCCTCACATACTTCTTTCCAAAAAAGCTTAAACTTAACTTCTCTTAATACATAAGTGATGCTATAGCTTTGATCATGCTTGTCACTCATTTGTGTACCTTTTCTAGTTTTAAGATCTTTAAGCAACCAAAAGAACACACTCTTCAAGATGTAGAAACACCAGATTCACTCAAAGGCATAAGAATTCTTTTTCTGTTTTCCTTGCTACTGCTGCTTCAGTAATTCCTGACGTTGTTTAGTTTTTAGACTGTAAACAGAAATAGACCTGCTCTTCTAATACTATCAGTCCCAATCACTCTAATTCAAGCTATTGTAGTTCAGGAAAGAGAGCTTAAAAAAATCTTCCATAGTACATATAGCTAGCAATGTTGCTCTCCCACCTCCATGCACATTCACCCACACATATTACTTTATATTTACTGATACTGAATTTCATTTGTCATTTTATAGCTCATTCACAGCATATATTGCAACATCACTTAGCAGCTCTTAGGCATTTTAGTTTACTGAGCTAAATAATCTTAATAGTTATTGCTACCAGTGGTACACATTAAACTGTTATTTGTTTCTGGCCATCAACTGTGAATGCATTCATAAGTGACAGGGACACCTATACCACCACCCCAAAACTTTCTTGTAGTGTGGAGTGATGCGGGGACCAGAGCGTGAGGATGCTCTGTGGTGGGCTCAGCTGCCCCTCCTGGGCCTCCCATGACACCACCACTGGTCACAACCCTCTGAGGTCTGCCATCCAGCCAGTTCTCAAGCCACCTCACTGTCCACTCATCCAGCCCACACTTCCTGAGCTTACCTAGGAGGATGTGATGGGAGACAGTGTCAAAAGCCTTGCTGAAGTCCAGGGAGACAACATCCACTGCTCTGCCCTCCTCTACCCAGCCAGTCATTCCATCATAGAAGGCTATCAGGTTGGTCAAGCATGATTTCCCTTTGGTGAATCCAGGCTGACTACATGCATAAGCCTACATGCATGATTCTAATTCTAATCTTCAAACATTTAATGTTGTGAACTAAAACATGGACATGGCTAATTAAACGATTGCAAATTAATACTACTAGCTCTCAAAATACAAGAAAACAGGCTTCAGCTATTTCATGCCGCACAAACAGAGCTAAATGGAGCTAGACTCTACTTTGTGATATTTTGTTTCCATGTGTGCCGGTACTCAATTACAGAATTGCCTACACAGCTTTCTTCTGGAGAATCCTTATGACTATGTTTCTGAAAGAACGATACTTGAATTATTTAAAAGGTGAGAACTGCAGCCAGTATAACTTAAAAGTCCACAGAAGCATTCCGTACCATATTGACCTAAAACAGTAGCTAAAAATGTAGTTGGACAAGATTCAGGAAATACATCCAAATGTTACATGATTTGTGAAACATACATGAAAGAAGAAAACCTTTTAGAGGTATTAGCAGAAAAAGGCTTAAAGATTTCAACTGAACAGAGCTTATTACTACATACTCAACAAATATAATTTGCCTAGACTGATAAAGAATGCAAGCTCTGCAACTGGGCCCTTTGAATAAAAAGGCTGGCAAATGCAGTTTGCTAAGAGTGAACTGAGTTAACGTTAAGGGATGGAATTACAAGAGCTGTAATACCTACAAACAGCCTTTATCCTCATCCTCAGCGTGCAGTTTAAGAACGACAAAACGAGGAGAGACAGAGCAAGCAAGCCAGAGAGAGAGCGCGACCGACAGAGACAGAGAAA